TCTATCAGCTGTACATGCCATGACAGCAACTACGTTTTTGAGAGCTTTGTCAGAGACAACACTCCAAATCAAGAGATTAACAACCCGAGCAACGGCAAGTCAGGCGGAGGTAAGAATGGAGGTCATTGCCCGAGCAACCATCACTGCCAAGACCGCTGGAACCCCCACACATGCAAGTGCGAGGGCAAGTGGTGCGGGAACCATGACCCTCGCTGCAAAGACTGGAACTGGGGGCACTGCAAGTGCAACTCTCAGGGCCAATGTCCGCACAATCATCACTGCCAAGACCGCTGGAACCCCCACACATGCAAGTGCGAGGGCAAGTGGTGCGAGAACCATGACCCTCGCTGCAACAACTGGAACTGGAAGACATGCTCATGCAGTCACAGAGGGCTGGTGTAAATTCTCAATTTGGAAGGGAAGGCAATCACTGCGGAACGCACTTCAATTTTTAAGCTGCTCACTCGTGTAACGGATGTACCATTATTTCTATTTTTGAAACATCAGTAATTTCATAGCTATCTTCCAGTGTATTCCCAATCATGACATAAGGAAGGGGTAATATGCGAGCTCTATAGAATTCATCTCACTGTCTATGTGTGAGGGTTGGTTCAATGTGCGCGGATGTGACATCATCATTACCACAGCCAGCTCGGGCGGGATTCTTCCCATCAGTTTCCACTGAAAGGACTAAGCAATGTAGCATGCTTGACATCAATTTGCTGGTGAATGCTGCACTGAAAGAAGATAGTGGGCTGTCGAGTGGAGTTGTTCCCAGAAGTTGGATGAAGGAAGAGGGACGTTTAGCTGGTCCGCGGGGCAGGTGGTGTTTGTGGTCACATAAACCGATCAAATTTCAGAGTTAATCATCATCCATTCGTCGCACGCCCCAGTGAGGAGTGTTCCCTCAATAAGAAATGGTAGACAGGTCTGCCTAGCTGTGACAAATAAAATCCGTCATTATGGAAAATTCTTCTTAGGGGCTGCAAAGCAGCACTAAGATGAAGTCTCGATATTTGGCGTGAGAGAGATATCCCGCTTGCAGCCGAGCCCGACCGTTCTCAAGAAAAGACCTGCACTGGGAACGAATAGAAAACAGCTAATCATCCGAGTCGAACGTCTTTCCAAACCATGGGAGTTTGATTAAGGTTCGGCCAGTGGGGCCGTGAGATTTCAATCTCGGGTCAGTCGAACCGTCGTCTAAATGTCAAGCATGTCTCCTTGTCAGTATAGGTTCACGCAAAGGCACTGATCAAGGGGACCGGGGAGGAGGGGTGCTGATATGAATCGTTACGAGAAGAAGAAGCCATAGGCGCGTTCTGCACGGCACTTGTCCCTCCAGTAAGTTGGTCATTGGAAATGATTCTTCTCTCATGCTAGGGGACCGCTTCAGATGCCAGGGCATTGGCTAGTTATGTTTTTCCCAGAAGGGGGCAGTGTAGTGGTGCCCAGAAAGCTTTTGAGGAATGGGAAGGTCATCCGTGGGCAACCGTGCAAGGGCTCACAGGCCAGCAAGGATGCCAAGAAAATTTGGACCTTCTTTTCCAAAAATCTTGAATGATAAGGGAGGGCATGTGATGATCGTAATGCTAAACACGAAGAATGCAAGAACTCTATCCAGGATGATTCCCCACCCCGACGCCTGATTATATGGAAGTAGCACAGCCTCGATGAGTAGCAAAGCTACAATACCGAAGAACACTAAATTTTACTACGTACGCCAAGAGCTAGGAGACGAAGGCGAGCTCAGCCAAATTGGGCAAACATAAGGGTGAGGTGGGCTTTCTCTACAGGCAAATTGGCGCTCATGGGGCTTGGTGCGGATATCTTGTACTTTTCTCTCTGAATTTAGCTGTATCCAGAACGTTCAGTCTCTGTATGTCAGGTCCTATCGACTTGGGACTTGAAACTGCCTGCACGATGCCAACCTAGATGTGACCGATTTGGGGCTTGCAGCCATGTTTATGGGTGGCGAAGAACTTCGACTGCGCCTCGATCTAGAGGCCCCATAACCTTGCAAGCTCGGGAAGCCCCGTAAACTTTGTATTGTTATAGGCCAAGGGGAGAGCAATTATGCACTTGGTGCTCTCCCAAGCAATGGGAGGCGAGGCGGATATGTGTCAATTGCGTCATGGGTTCTGAGCTCTGGTTCATGCGACGCAGGTACTGGAGGTCGCCTTTCCCAAAGTGAGCGGCAAGGTCATCGGCGTCACGAACCACCAATAAACTGGCCGTTCATAGAATGACCAGTATTTGCGGGGATGTGAACTGACACATACCCAGAGGCACGGATCATTTGCTGTATCATTTTGCATCTGCTGTAGTGACGTTCGGCACAATGTTCACTGTAATCTGAGTATCTGCGAGGACATACCGACCACTACTCAAAATAATGTATGCTCTACAATAATTTAATGAACCATGGTGGCGGGTGTGCAGCACCTTGAAAAATCGCCATACCATAACTCAAGATCAATCTCACTTGATATAGTTAGATCGGAAGAGAACCCTATGCCTTTTTCTTTGCTTGTTTCGTTGAGACTGCTGCGCGGCTGCCTCTAGATGCAGCTCCTACTCGCACTGGAACCGCTTAATTTATGTCCGAGTTACTTCCCAGTGTAACCAACTGCGCTATGATTGGTCGAGGGGATTTAAGGAAGTGAGCACTACACCAGGTGATTGGAGGATACTTGATCTGTGATTAGAGTTCCGAAAGGAATAAAGGAATGCGAATATGCCTGTTATCCATATTCGCATCATTTTATTCATATTTTTCATATTCCCTTTGGTGTTAACCGTATCCGGTTTAGATGTAATATATATTACACCATGTCATATCCGCAGTTGCTTCTACTGAGTCGGGAGTCTATCCTTGGTTTATTAGCAAGTAGTCTTTTCTAACGGATGGGTTCCATACCTGAACCATGTCAGAGAGTTGCAACAAGTGCCTGGCCCCTGCTTCATTCTTCTACGGCTTCCGGTACTATAGTAACAATTAATGTACAATGGGCACTTAACCAGTTTATTGAGCTACAAGGATCAGCTCATCATAACTGGCCTAGCCTTCCTGGCAAATAGCTAGTTGACTATCCAGGCGCTTAATCATCTTCTCCGTATCTCTATGGGATGAAGCTGCGGCCACGGTATCCCGAAGCGTCTTTTCCAATTTCGGCGAGATCGGCTCTTCGTCTCTTGGTCTCTTCCCCCGAAGTTTGGACAGGGATTTCGAGTTTGGGATTTGCTGACGTATGCGAAGTCTGTAGCTTTGAGGGGTCTTCATCATGCAAACAAACCCAATCACATGCACTAGCGTAGATATCCCGTAGTACAGACGGTGCAATGTCAACCAACGGCCTTTCTTCGGCGTCTTTGGCGTCCTGGTTCCCCCGACGACGGGGTCTAATCACATTGGCCAGATCGACTGCTTCGAGCGCAACCCTGTGACTCGAGTACACCACGCGGTGAGCCATCGCCTTGGCGCGAATTGAGGCTCTGTCCTCAAAGCCATACCGGGCGACACAATCGTCGATTTGCAAGTAGCAATTGATTTCAAGAGCCCACAAAATTGCACGGCGGACAGGAATCTGCCTGCTAGCAGGTATGGGAGTAGATTACCTAACGGCGCGGTGTTCCACTGGGGACTCAGCCCCTCTGCCCACTGGTCGCCGCAAATCCGAGGGCCCCAGTCAGTACATTGATTTTGATACAGCATTTGCCATAATGTCGAATTCTGGTCCTGCATGCGCCGAGCCGCCTGGAGGCTCTCGTGTTATGGATACTCCCGCGGCACTGTTGCATCCGTAGCAAACTTCTCTGCCAGTTCGTCCCCAAACCACCATCACGTCATTCAGGGCTAAACTACTGTGGTATACCAAGCAGGTCTGGATACCCAGGTTCTACCTGATTTTGACCGTACTATTGCGGTCTCGACACCGTTACAGGCTTAGAAAAGCAAACAAGAGAGCGAAGAGATAGCCCGCGTCGTCACCACTAGCCCAGTCGCGCTTGCACAGGATTTTATCCTTCAAGCTATCGTGGTTTCGACTCGTTTGAGGATCACTACGGTCTCCAACAGCAGCCTATCGCGGTGCATACCTCCGCCACCACCCCACCAAACAAAATTTCGTTCACACCGGAGGCAGATTATTAGCCCAGCCGATGGAAGTATTTGGGTTCCCCTGACCCTCAACTAGCTGGGTGGGCAGTATTTGTCGATGATATTTCCTAGTCGACGCGCACAGCGAAGCATCAAGAAAGTGAAATTCCAGCGTGTTTGAACATCATGCAACGGAAACAGCCGTGTAGCGCCTGATTGAAGGCATAAAAATGCATGTCCCCGTTGAAGGCTTGCGTTGACGAAAACCGCAAATGGTCGAATCTATATTGATGGGAGATTCCTAAATGGACCCTATTCTTTTGACGAATGGAACGCCCTGCACTTGTCTAACCCTAACTAGTAAGGCATCGTAAGTGTATTTCACTACACATGCAAAAAGCATGAATTTCTTAGTATTCCTACCTCACCTTCAATTTCTGTAAGTCCTAACCCTCTGCCTTTCAAAACCCCTATATAAATAGAGAAACCAGCCTATACAGCGGCTAGCTAGCCCTTTTATATCGAAAGTGACGAAATAGTTGGATAGAATTAGATAAATATAAAGCTGTCTTACGCTTCCTATGTCGATTACATTAGGAATTCTCGTCCTAAAACGTAGAAGTTATGGCCGGCGACGCTTAGGCCGTAGAAGAGGCTATTGAGGTGACCATGAAACCGCTAGTCCTCGGTGTATTGGCGGTGCTCAGAACTTGATGCATTTTGGCCTAATAATGCTTAGTGAAATACAATTACGGCACCTTACTAGTTAGAATTAGACAAATGTAGGGGGAGGGGGGAGGGGTCCATTCGTCAAAAATTGGTCCATTTAGGAAAGCCCTATTGATGAGTACTCAGTCTGTATTGAGGGTTGGTCGTGGAAATTCCGGGCTCATCTTTGTCAGGGTATGAGCAACGTCTCCGTGATTTGCCGAGTCTCTCAACCTATATGGCGGCATAATACTGCGCCCCTTGATTTGATGCGGTTTGTTCAATAATCTATCCGCGCAAGGGCCGTGGCGGTAGGGCCAGAAAAGAGTCAAGCCGATTCCGAGAATAGCTGTACTAGACCTACGTCAGACAGATTTCCATCTATTGCGGTGATATCTCAACGGAACTTATTCACCGCAAGGTCACCTCGCCATCACCATCTTGTTAGACGATGCATGTGCATTTGCCACGCAGACTTGTAATTGTATTTTTTTTATAGCTATTTTGACCAGATTTTAAACCGGTCATGCTGCGTGCCCTTGTGGGTGATTAGGGCCATTCCGCCACTTAATTCCCGTGTCTAGAGTACACCACTACTAATGACCTCGAGTCAGATCTGTGAGGCTAAGGTCCGGGGTTGTCAGAATTGGTGAGTGGGAGGGCAGTCTAGTTTGTGAACGCTTTCGGGAGATGGCCCTGACGAATGTATAGCGCTACTGTTCTGGCCCTTATGGCCTTGCAACGCCTTCATCGCCTCCGTGATTCCCCCTCTGACATGCGTCAATTCAGTCTCTAGCCGACTGGCTCGGTGTGAGCTGGCGTCAAGCTCACTCTGAAGCCCACGGGACTTTGTCTGGAATCGACCGCTATCGCTGCGCGTGTCGCCCAGCCGGACCCGAGTACGGCGGAGCTCATCCCCAGCTCGCGGTTCGCGCCTCCCAGCTGGCGGATCTTTGCTATAATGTCTGTTGGTCATATGACAGGAGGCGGCAGCGGGCGAAGGGTCACAGCGACAGCACATGTAAATACAAGCCTTGTACTAGGAAGCACTCGGCACACAATCACATCAATTTTATCTTCAGCGTCTTGGGATTTCAAGTACCCGATCGATATAGCAATCAATGAGGTCACCCCATAATAGCATTCGAAATCAAATTCCCTAGCCAACACTCACAGATTGTTCACAAATTATTTCTTCGTCAACAGGAAAAGAAATAGATCTATGTAAAGCTCTGTCACGCTGTCGCTGGGTATAGAAGAGACTTTTTTGGCCGTGATAGCACCCCTCCCATAGTGGACACCGCGCCAGTAGATAACGTTCCATCATCAGTAGAGGGCGGGCGTTCTTCCTGTATTGTTGATATAGGGTCCAGTATTGTAGTGCCTGTTTCAAAGGGAATCCTATTCTCACTCGGCAGGCTGCAAGCCGAGCGTCGGGGTTGTTTTGCCGGATCGAAGCGACGATAGGG